TTTTGCAATTGGGCCTGCCGACTAAGCTCGGTTCGGCGTGCAGTTTGGGCCCATAACCGGCCCGACCCGAACCGTGTGCAGCCCTACATGTGGGTACATATCAAAACTTAAAGTATTTGAAATAATATATATATATATAAATACATAATTGTATATTACTTTTAAAATATTAAATAAATAAAAACTTGAATGGGGGCCCGAGACCACACTGGTCCCAGTGTGGCTCTGCCCTTGGTGGGAAGTGTGTCGAGTTCTTATTGGCATTGTGAGATTCTATACGTGCAGGGATGGAACATAGCTTTGGCTAACCTGGGCTACAGCCCAAGTGGCTTTTAAAATCCCAACCCAAAAAATAATTGTAGCCCAGCCAGCCATCCAATTGAATATCCTACCCTTCTTAGGAATCCTTTGCTTGCACTGCCTTCACGTGGGGAATAAAACTTATAAAAGGGAGAATAGGAAAGCTGCAGCCTATAGCACATAGGATTTATAAAAAATAAAAAATAAAAAAATAAAAAGAGAGAAAAGAGAATGCACATAGCCGGTGGAAAAAAAGAAAGAAAAGTAGAAGAAATTGTTTAACTGTTTCTTAGAGTTGTCGACTTTGTCACCAACTCATATTGCACCCTTGCACACGTAAAGGAACACTCTTGTTGTTGTTGCACTCAACTTCAAGGCTTAATTCAAGAAGCGAACCAAGCTCCTATATTTCTCAGGTACAGTAAGCTTCTCTCAATTTGTTGTTGTTGAAATTTGAGAATTTTTTTAGGTTTTATTTAGTATCAATTACATATTTGCAATTGAGACTTATGATTTATTTATCAATTAGGGATTTACAATTAAATTACATCGTATTATCGAGTTTTCTATCTACTTAGTATGTTTATATATAAGGTAAATTTAGCCCAGTCAAGTTTGAAATCCTGGGTCCGTCCTTATATACGTGTTGAGTGAGAATGTAATAGAATTTGTAAGAAATGTGTAGGAATATTTTTGAAGAAATTTTGAGGTATTTATAGATATATTTTAGGTTAATTTTTTTTTTTAAAAAAAAAGAAATAAAAGAAAGCCAACAATGACAATTTTGAAAAGAAAAAAAAAATGGATACATTTTGAAGGGTTCTGACCTCCCAACGGTCAAAACCAATTGTTTATAATTTTTTTTAATGAAAATATTTATATACATTTAAAAGGAAAAAAAAAAAATGAAGAAAAAGGTAACAGCTAGCTAATGTTAGCGCACCTTTAATATAAGCCTTTGGATATAGAGTTGTACGAGATGTTTTGTGCTCACTCCCACGCGTGATACTTTCTCTTCTTGGGCAATACATACTCTGGGCTCACAAAAAAATTTGGCCTGGGGTATAGCTGGGTTACAATTGTCCTGGTTGGAGGGCTAAATGGCTAAATGTGGCCCTCTAAATTTGGCCTTTTTTTTTTCCCCATGGTTGGAGATGAGTTTTGCATTATTTTAGGGCTATATTTGACTTATGGCCCATGACTGGAGATGGCCTTATTCTATCAGCCTAAAATTTAATTTATCCTACCCATGCCATGCTCACATCCGAAGACTCATAGCTCATCCAACAATACACCTAAGGAAAAGAAGATCCTACGCAAGAAGTCTTAAACTGCTGTTTCTCTTAAGGGAGTTTAGTTGTTGTTATCTTAGTTTCATGAAAAGAAAGAATAAGGAACATTTCCCCCCTTAATTCTCCTTGGGGGGAGATTTAACTCCTTAAGTACCGAGAGAGCATTCGTGTGCCACGGACGAACTAATGAATTCAATTCTCTTAGACTATTCGAGGACATTCTTGTGTAGGACATTCTTGGCTCCATCTAAATACTTTCCGAACAATCTTTCAGAAAGTGCTCCAAATGCTCTATTGAAAGAGTCTATTCTATTTGTGTATTACTGTTTATAGCCTTCCTCATCATGGAGTAAAAGATTCCCCATCATGGCAACAGGTTGCCACTGCCCATTGACAAGTTTAATTTTTCTCTCTCCCCCTCTATTTCTTCCCTTGCTAAAACTGCGGTGACAAGTTTTTGTGTTTTTTGTTTTTCCATGCTAGCTATTAGAGGTGGGCATTCAAATCAGAAAATAAAAAAACTGAGCTGAATTGGACAGAAAAAACTGAGTTGACCAAAAACTTGACTACGTTGACCAAAAATTGAACCGGACCGATTTGGTCCGATTCCAATTCCAATTCTTGTAGTAAAAAAAGGGAACCGAATCAGCTTAAATATATATTATTTATTTATATAATATTAGCCCAAACCTAATTTTTCTTCCAAGCCTAATCTTTCTTCAAGCTCAAATGCTCTTCCAAGCCATCAAGCCCAAATACTCTTCCAAGCCATCAAACCTAACTCCAAGCCCTTTGTTTGTTTTTCAAGCCCAAAAAATAAAATTTTAATTGAAATTTATATAGAAAAATAATTAAAAATAATAATAATACTAATCTAGTCCAAAACTGGACCAAATCGGAATCAGTTCAAACCAAACTGGTCTGTTTTATAATTTTTTTCACTAAAATCAGACCTAATCGGACTGTACCCACTCCTACTAGCTACAATGTTCATGACAAGTTATTTATAGTGTGTGAGATGGACTTAAATTTTGACCTCCAATCTCTCACCTCTGTGTGCTTTTTATTTATTTATTTATATTTATTCCTATATATATTTATGTAGGGTTCATGAACTTTGTTTCTTACAGAGCAATAGTTGGCCTACATACCAAAAATTCAAAATCAGACATTTTTTTTCTTCTTCTCATTTGCATTTGGTTGAAAATTGAAACGTGAGGACCATGCTTGCAAGGCTTGTCTTATGTATGCATTCTGTTTACTTCTTTTATTGAGCTCTATTATTTAACAGGCTTCAAATTTCTTTCTAGTTTCTACTATTATATATTAACATCACTACTACAAAAATGGAAAAATGTGACAGTGAAACAACGACGGAAGGAATAAATACCATCGTTGTGTTTAGAAAGACGACGATAATAGAAAACTACCGTGGACCAATAACTTAAACACCTGAAAAATCGAGATCCATTGTGGTATTTTTAAAACACGATGCCTCAAACTTAAAAAGTGTCGTCTTATGAAACATGTTATTTCTAGTTATGTAAACACTTAACCCTAAACAACGATAGTAGGTATAAAGCAACCAACATAGACATTAAAGATGACATGTTACCTAGATTGCCATCATGTTAACTTGTACTTAACCACGACGGTAATTGTTGTCTTGATGACGTATGAAGTCCTCTTATACTACGACGGTAGTTATAAAATTACTGTCATGTAAAGTTATATTCAACCAACGGCATAACGACGCCTAAATTTAAACATATCCATGTCGCTCTTTTACTATTTTACGATGTATTAAGTTAGTACACCACGACGGTCTTTGTAAATAAATGGTAGTGGTAAATGTAATTTACCACGTCGTTATTGTAGAATATAGCGTATGAGTTTATTGTACCTAACCACGGCGGTTTCTTGATAATGAGTGTCGTATAATATTATAGGAATTCACGTCGCTAATTTCGTAATAAGCGCCGTATTAATTTAATATACCACCACCGTAAAAATAAATTCATGATGTATGATAAGAAAGTAAAAGTCTAAATTTAAGATTTAATTTATGTGTTTTTGTAGCCCACGACGACGGTAATTGGAAATACCGTTGTTTGTATTTCCGTTATACGATGGTCGTTCTGTAACTACTATCATCTGAAATTTGTATTGCTTTTTAAGATTTCATTTCTAGGATTTTTAGCGTACAACGACAGTTGTTGGAAATAGTGTCATATGTATTTCAGTTATACGACGGTCGTTTTGTAACTACCGTTGTCAGTGTATTGCTTTTTTAAGATTTATTTTCTGGGTAGAATTTGTATGGCCAAAAAAACGACGGTAGATCAACAAAATGACATGTAATACGTAAAAACACGACAGTTTATATAAAATACTGCCGTCTGCGATATAATTTTTAGGCTTATTTACTAAATGTACTAAATGAAATCATCAGAGAAAGGCAAATGAGATCCCAAAAGATATGAAATCGTACTAGTGGGAGCTATGTACTAAATAAGCGTTACTCATTACAATCGAACCACCAATTTGAGAAAGACAATATTTTGAATGTTGGTGATGTATGTATCATCAATCCGGACCTTGAGAGAGATGAGAGAGACACATGCATACCAACATTTAAATTATTGCCTCCCACCCAAATCCGGACCTTTAGAGAGGTGAGAGAGAGCCAAGGCCTGAAGTGATGACAGCAACCAAGGGCCAGAAGTATGTGACTTGATTTCCAGTCGGAACCCTATGTGAAAAGTGAAAGGGAAGAAAGCATGAACAGCCCCAATTGAACCCAATTTATCTTTACATCCAAATGGGTCCCAATAATTTCCACCTTACTTGCCTAAATTTTAAGGAAAGCAATAATCCATATTAATTCCCAAACGACAACGGTAGTACATACGTACAGACGTCTTAACGGACTACAATGACAGTAAATAGATAATTGACGTCGTCGTAACTCTAAACAATGTCGATCTTTACCAACTTATCGACGTTTTAACTGACTACGACGATGATAATTACATAATCAACAACATCATCATGCAAAACAACATTGCTTTTAACAACTAGAAGCCGTCTTAAGGGACTACAATGACGGTAATTACCTAAACAACGATGTGGTAATTTTGAACAACGTCAGTCTGTACCACCTGTCAACGTTGTAGGGGACTACAACGGTGAAATATAGATCAAAGACGCCGTTGTATTGACCTACAACATCATATTCCACTTAATTACCGACGTGTTTTGATGTAGTTTATATCCCATCTCGTTCTCTGAATATGCTATCTCA